CTGCAGGGACGCACTGTAGCGAGGCCACACCGGGTACTTCATGTGGAGGACGCCGTGGTCCCAGCGCCCCACCTGCAAGGGTGACGGGCCTGAGCCCAGGACCTCCAGCCCTAGGACTCCCACCCTCTGTGAGGCCTGGGGGGGGGGGCGCCAGGACCTGAGTCCCAGTCCCACACTGGAGATGCTTGGAGCAGGACAGAGCAGGGCCTGGGGCAGGACATTTGCTCAACAGAAGGGGCTGGGCAAGGGGCTGGGCATGGGCCCCAGGGAGGATCCCTGCAGCCTCCTCCCACTCCAGCACCTGCCTAGAGCTCACCCCTGAGTCTGTCACTAATTTTCCACACTCACTTTCCTGACCTCAGTATAAAGTCCTTAACCCAGAACCCCACTCTTCTTCCTCAGTCTCCACACCACCAAACACATCACTTACAGACGCCCCACACCCTCCTGCTCCTGTGTCTACACCAGGTTAGTATCCCTTCCTGGTGGGCTCCTACTCACCCCTCCGCAGCCCAGCCCCAATGTCCCAACTGCTGTGATGCCTTCCCCAGTTTCCTCCTTTAAAAGCAGAACTAAGTCCTGCCTCTCTTCTCTACTCCCATAATGCTTTGCACGCATCTCTACTCAAGCCCCCATCTCCCCAAATTCTATTTGTTTACATGTCAGCCTGGCCAGCACAGCTGTGGGTTACTCCTCCCACAGGGGCAGGACTATGTGATAAGGTAAGTTCTGCAGGGGAGGGGGGTCGGGGTGTGTGGGGGAGCCCAGAGCTGAGGGGCCTCACCCAACCTGGGGACCCAGAAGGTTTCCCCGTGGAGATGTTTCAGCTGAGACCCTGGGATGAGGGGCTGGATGAGGGACAGAAGGGACTCTCTGCTCAGCTGTGGGCACAAGAGGAGGCGGGGACACGGTGAGAGGAAGCGGAGGGCCCCAGGCTCACCCCCTTCTCACCATCTCCCAGAGGCGGTGCCGGTTGAGGGCGATCACCACCATGGTGGGCTGGACCAGGTACCCGCCGGGGCTGAAGGAGAAGTCCCGGCCCTCCCAGGTGACGTTCAGTAGGTGCCTGTAGGCGGGAGAGAAGCTGGGCATTCCCTTAGCCCTGCCTGCAGCGCCCCCGCCCCCCAACCTGCCTCACCACCTGCCAACAGGGAGCATTTATGGTGTCTTCTGTTTCCCTGTATTGACGGCCACCATTCTCGCCGCACCCTCACAACCCCTATCTTTTTTTTTTTTTT